CAGATCTGGGTCACATCATCTTCTCTGTGATTTAGTGGAAACAATATATCCTACATTGCAACATTTTTCACCGTGAAGCATTAAAGAATTGACCATTTAGAGGTCAACGACTTTAGAAATCACAACTGAGCAAAGTTATTTTTCCTCAGAGAAGAGAACAAAATCATTTAGAGATCAATTAAAGCCAAAACTAATTTCCAGGAAGTATCACTTGATAATGTTTCTCAGTGAACGCAGTCAGTGCTGTTGAATGTGGTTCATCAAGTAACACGTTGCTCTATGATTACATAGATCGTTTATGAAACTCGATTTCCAGACCTTAAGTAGGAGTCGAGTCTAAGGTCTTTGTTTTGGTGGCTTAAGATGAGCTGAAACCCAGGCTCAGAAACCAATGGCCATCCCCGCTGCGCAGTGTATCTGCTTGTTTATGGGAGATAAAACAAGCAACCACAGGAGCAGCTGCTTTGGGCATTTTTAGCGTTTTGAGGTCACATAATTTGATTTAGCAAATGTTAGAGAGGGTTCGAATCACAAACCACCAACCAGGCTCAGAAAAAAGTGAATTAAAATACCAAGCAGGTAAACTATGAACCGATTCCTTATTGCCAAATTCTCAGAACAGAAGAACTTTGTTTAAGAGACAAAATCTAGATTAACCCGTTTATCTTTCATTCGTTATGTGGTATAAGATTATATCATGTTGATGATAATGGCTTGCCTTCTGCTAAGCTCTACAGACTAAAAAGGCAGCAGCTCTTTCACAGGCTTTCCCTTTATCAAGTGTGGAAAAACAAAACAAAGGAGCTTCTTAAAACCTATTAACCATGTGAGTGAAACACGGCTTGATAGATTGGAAAAGAAATGCGGTGAATACAGAAATGACTTCATATGAATAATGCATGGATCTGTATTAGGAAACATCTGCCCAACTCAGACTAATGCTCTTCTTGAGTCGGCTGATTCTTCCTCCATTTTCTCATGAAAGCGTCATTATCCCTGTAAATAATCAGATCTAATCCGTAGCTACTGAAAAACAGCACAATGCTGTGAATAAGTAGTTCTAATATTAGCCTGTGTTATTAGGTAAATCTTTGATGACAGTTTTAAAGTTATTTGACAGGCTAAAAGTGTATAAAGATGCTATTTTGCAGGAAAGAATATCAGCTGATATCAGAAAGTAAGAAGTATTTAGAGGTATTCTCCCCAGAGGCCAGTCTGCATGCAGGCAGCATCACTTTTTGTCCTTTCTGTTCTCCAAAAATAGTCTTTCTAGAGTTGGCGTCTGTTTGTGTAAGCCTGTTTTTTTAGCTAGTCATGCATAAAAAAGAAATAATAAATGAAGGCAGTGCTGTGTTAGCACAACATATTTTAAAGTAAGACGTCCACTATTAGTCAGTACTTAGTACAGTTGCAAGAAAAATCACAACAGAACACAGGAAAACTGAGTATTTACTCAGATTGTGTTATAATTTAACCCGCAGCTATGGCACCAACTTCAATAATTAAAGAAAAACACCCTTTATGAGACAATCAAATCAATACATAATGAAATGCATGAATAAATAAACAGACGATAATGGTGCATCTGTCTCAAAGCACATCTGTTTCTGAAATGTTGAAAGAAAAGAAAGTCTAATGTAGTTATTTTTTATAGTCTACAGTGAAAGAAATGACTGCTCTTCAGCATTTCTGTACTGAACACATTTATTTAGACTAAAATAAAATAAAAAACTGAAACAATTAATCCTGGAAAAAAGCACAAACAGTTTTAGGCTGGCCAGGTTTGAGAATATACCCCTCAATAATTGTCCAAGAGTCACACCGTAGCAATGAATGCAAACTGATTTCTTCTCCTTTGTTATGGTTTTCCTTACTTAATGTATAGTGGAAGATGTTCTTTTTGCGGGTGGATCATCAAAATAAGTGGTCCTCCTAATTGTCAATCTTTCTGGTGATATGTTTACATTAGGCCGTCCTACGTGCTCGTCCCCAGTTAGCTATCTTTTTCTGCGCATGTGCATTTTCAGGTGCATATGTGTGGTATTAAAGCTCACCTTTCATTCAGCGGTTCTTTGAAAATGGCAGATGGTCTTAAGAAAAAGTGTCTACGAAGTTTATGAGAAGAAGAGGAAGGTCTCAGAAGAGAGAAACTAGACTAGAGTGTTTTCAGGAGATTCTTTAGCGTGATGGCGTACACTGAAAGCACAGGTTGGGCTTCCAACTGATGCCTCGATTGCAAAGTTTCTACTGGACAGGTAAAGTTGGGCATGCTATTTAAAGATATTTAAAGTTATCTACCTCTATATTGTAACTTTCAAGGGAAGATATGTTTATCTATTTTGTAATTTGCATCATTGGTAGACATACGGTGGCCATAGATCCTTATTTACCCCGCAAACATGTCCAAATTTCCACTGCAGCACACACACACATAAAAGCATGTCATAATTTTTTTAATGTACTACTAGTCTTATTTGCTGAAATAAGACTAGTAATACAACTAGTAGTTGCTGAAATTTTTTATATATAAATAGGTGTGAGATGAGATCTATCCATCGTCTTATCATTGCATCCCCGCACATCCTCCATGAGAAATGGGTTTGTGCATGCTCTCCAGAGGCGTTCCCTCTGGGAGCGGGTGCAGGGTTGTGCATGTGCATTTTTCTTTTTTCAAGTAGAGACGGGAGGTCCTTTCAAAAATCCTCCACTATACCTTTAATTTAAACTTTTCGTGCATAATAAAAAAAATCCTCGCTCACTCCTTTAATACTTTATCATGAAACTGCTAGAAAAAAATATGGATTCCACTAAACCCAGCGATGTTCCTCCCTCATCCGTCTTTGAGCTCTGCTGGTCAGAAGGCGAAAAGGAAAAACTGAGCTCATGTCCTGCTTACAGGAAAGACAACTTCTGTCACAAAATACACAGATGTTAAAGGTTTAGAGTAGGGAAATTTGCCATTTTAAATTTGATCCTCAGTTAGAAAAGTAAAAAAAAGTTAGAAAAGTTAAAAGTCTTTAGGGTGAAAATACTTGTTTGGCCAACTTCTGACTAATTAATAACGAATCTCTAGAGGTTTTTTTCCCTAATATTTGATAAATTCACTCAGTAAAAGACACTATGTCTTATTTACACATACGTTGATATTTTCAATGCTTATTTTCTGCACATTTTAATGATTTTCTGAACTAGCTAGAAAAACATTTACAATTTAATAGTATCTGTTTTTAAATCAGACAAATTATACATATTTTAAGAGAAATTTGTGTTTAATAAAAAGTATGTTTAAGAAAATGCTTTGAGGTCGTTATTTTCAAAAGGGAGTTTGTTAATCAGTGAAATAGAATGGTGCAATTTTAGATTTTATGTTTTAGATTCATAGAAATATCAGTATACAGTGGCACTGTGGTAGTTACAGCACTAAAGAGAAAAGTAACTTTCTAATTATAAATTGCAAAAACCCCAATCATAAACCTGATTAAGAATATCTTTCCTAATCGCATATTTAAAAAGGTAATTCCTTATTCCATCTCCATTTTCTTTTTCACCTTGGATTTGAAATGCTTTTTGCAGATGCACTTTCTTTATA